AAAAAGAATAGTAGGCTACTAAACTATATATAAGAAAAAGATTGTATAAAACTTTCTTTATTGTTTAATAGGGGCCGATCGCCAAGACTTGAGAGAATCATTTTATAAAGTCAAAAATGTTCACCTTTAATGTTTTGTGTATGAATAAATTTTAAATAATGTGAGACTCAATTTCCACTGTTAAACAAACTGTTATTTCAAACTAACCGCTGTACCTGAAAATGTAAAATAAATCACTTGTTGCACAGGACATTTGTCAGAGACACATCCACCAAACCGCAGGCGTTTAGAATAGAAAAAGCAAAACGCTTTTATGAACTGTGTGTTAAATCACTATTTTGTAATATCTAAACAAACACACACTTTGGCTCCTACAAGAAGAGCATTTAATTTGAAAATATTAAAACTGTATGCATTACTTATGTACACTTCTTTCCTTTTATCACCAACAAATCAAAATCACCTGGCCCTTCATACAGCACATAACCTATCTGTAACGTTGTGCTGCTACAGCTTCTCCCTGTCTCACCCTCTCTGTTCTGAAGCAGCTCCACCTCATCTGTCCTCTGATATGAAAACGACTGAGTTATGATCATATTAATTCTAACATTAAACTAAGCATCCAGACTCTGCTTGTCATACATTGCTGACAGAAAATGCGCGGTTTAAAGTGGACTCGTTTTATTGGTACACAGAATGTTCTACATCAGTGGTTCCCAAACTTTTTAGAGTGGAGTACCCCCTGAGGCATTTACCGTCCTTCTGCGTACCCCCTCTCTTCCACTTAGACTGCACCTTTTCCATTAAGGACAGTATTTGCCCTCTAAATTGACTTTCCAGTGCATTATTTTATAAATAAAATAAATAAAATTCTTTATAAATACAATATTAATGTTGTAAATAAAATAAAAAATGTTCAATAGAGTAATATCATGCAATGATAAAAAAGTAAAAAGTGATTCTTTTAAATACTAAAACCGCCAGTAGGTGGCGGTAAGTCTTAATCATAGACTGTATAAAAACATGGACGTAGTGTCCGTGACGTCACCCGTAGGTTTCTGAAGAGCATCTTTGAAGCTCAAAGTGGGCGGAGCAGGCCGTCACCATCTTGGCAGGCCGTCACCATTTTGGCAGCACGTCACCGCGCGTCACTCCCGGATAATCGAAAAAGGGCAAAGAGGCGGGAGCAGGTTGCTGAAACCACGCCCACCTAGCTCGACGGTGGTGACAGCAGCGGCAATCCACCTGTCACTCAAGTGGCCACGCCCTTAATTATGCAGAACTTTAAGGCTTAATATAATTTAAACAGATGAGTTATAAAAAAATTCACCCCCCTCACAGTTGTCATGAAGGGCAAAATTAGCTATATAGACCAAAATCATTTTTTGAACCAGGCTGTAAACATGTTTTTTTTTTCTGCTGTAAAGTTAGGCATTTTAACATGGGGAGTCTATGGGACTGACTCCCTTTTGGAGCCAGCTTCTAGCGGCCAGTCGATGAATTGCAGTTTTAGTCACTTCCGTGTTGGTTTCACGAGAGAGAAGGTTGCCACTTGGTCTTAATGCATGAGTCATCGATGCATTCGTTCATTCAGTAACGAAGCAAGTGTCTGTATTTATGAATTAATCATTGATTCAATGACTTTCACGAATGATTCGTTCAAAGCCACAGATTCGTTCACGAAACACCGCAAAACTGTACCCCCTCTGTCGCCTCAGGTAACCCCAGTTTGGGAACCACTGTTCTACATTAAATATTTAGCTAACAACAGTCTGAAGTTACCTAGCAACAGTGTATGTTAACGTTAGCTCAGTCAACGTTAGGCTAACATCAGAATATATGATTATCCTAACCTGAGCTAATTTACTGAATCAACCAACTCACATCTCCTTTCTTTCTTTTCATTCATGATGACATTAAAGTCATCTGTAGGCATGGGCCGGTATGAGATTTTGACGGTATAACCTTAAGCAAAAATATCACGGTTTCACGGTATTGTCGTTACAGCTCTAAAATGTGTTATTTTTAAATGACTGGGTAAAAAAATAAAAAATAAAAAAAACATTTTTTCCGCTGAATACAATATATTTTGTTTTTGAGCAACATACAGAATATTAGGAACAGTAGAATTTGTTTATTTTTTCTTTATTTAACCTAAATCTGTAATTAGTTATTTAATTTTGGTTATATAATTCATATACATATCATTTATATCATTTAGTTATATAATTTCATATACATAATTTGATTTAATAATAACCCAATTTGAAGCAAAAACAGAATGTTCTGACTAGCTTTGTGAAATTATACTAGTACATGCCTGAACGAAGCAAACAGCAGAAGCTCTGAATGAGACGCAGATTCACTCTCTGACAGCACATACGGCGTTTCCTTGGTTACTGCTCTAAACAAAGCAGCTGCGCTGAAACACTGCTTTAATATGAACTATACAGAGACGAGATTAAAAGAAAATACCACGTAAACTTTTATGAAGACAGTTAGTTCCCCTCAGAAACACATTCATATAAACCCCCAAATCAATATTGAGGATTTTCTTCCAATAGTTTGTGCATCATGAACAGTGAGTGATCTGCCTGCTACAGTATTTTTCTCTGTGCGTCCGTCTTCAGTGTCTCTGGCCTGTGTTAACAGGCGTTTACAGACTTCATATTTTCGCATAAATTACATTTTGGAAAACGATTGCATTGCAATTCAGTTTGTGCAATTCCAGAACAGAGACGAGTTGCTTGCAATAAGACAAAAAAACGTCCGGTTGCCGATCGCGTAAGTTCCAGAGGAAGCTCCTTAAGTTCGGCCGTCCTACACACACGTGACTGACCGCTCGCTCGCATCGACAGGAGGAGGAGGGTCGTGTTACTCTCTACACTGCACTCAACCTGAGGGATTCCTACACTTTCAGTCTTTGAGGAGACATGAAAAACAGCGCATACCGCAGGAACGGTATAACGGAAAATATTAGCGGTTTTGAAACCGTGAAATTTTCAAATACCTTGAAACCAGTAATCGGCCCATGCCTGGTCATCTGTTGCTGCTTCTGGCGTTTCATCGCTTGACTGTGCCGCAACCGCGATACCTGCTCATTAAAACTTTCAGTGAGCTATTTTTAGTGTGTGCACGCGACGTTCCTGGATGCCAGTGTTGCCAAGTCCGTGGTTTTCCAATGGAATTGGGCTACTTTAACACTGTTGCCGCGGGTTGAAGTGACTCCAATAACATATTTATCCCCTGGAATGCAAATTTTTAACTGGGGACCCCCTCGAAACGTGATTGGGCTAGTTTTGGGCTATTTTTGAGTAGCGATTGGGTGGGTTTTCTTGTGAAAACCTGGCAACGCTACTGGACATGGATGCGCGTGTCTGTGTCCTGCTCGGTCCTGCTCCTCCGTGGCAATGACGCCGTGCGGTTAAAAAAAAATCATACACAAATTTTGAAAGTGGGGGGACAAAAGGGATTTTGAAAAGTGAGGGGGACATGTAAGGTAAGTTTTGCAACAAGAGATCAAGAAATCTCAAAACTCCAACAGATGCATTCTAAATTCTCCAGTGTTTATATGTTTGTTTTTTCAAGGTCGGCGAGACCTTGTTTTTTGCATTCTTAGAACTGACAAACAGACGTGTTTAAATTGCAGTCTTTTTGTGCTTCATCAACGTAATTGCAATTTTAGTTTTATTTGGATTAATTTTACAGCATAAGCTCGGAATGACTGACCGTCACTGGTCTCCTGGAATTTGTCTCTAACACTCTCTAGTTTCTCCATGGCTTTCATGTTGGGAGCACTGATCCTCTGCAGGATGCTCTGCTGCTCATTGAGTCTCTGATGCAATGTGTTCATCTCCGCCTTGATCTCCTCCTCTGACAGTGAGTCCTGCAAAGCATCAGTCACATCACAATCTCAACACGCCATAACACTCATGATAGTGTAAAAACAGTAATATAATCATGATAGTGTAAAGATGCAAGCACTGATGTACTTTTAGGTCCTCTGACAAGCTGCTGTAGTCAATCTCGATAAGAGCTTCCTTGGCTAGGACAGTGCTAGATGTCTTCTGACTGCTGCTGAGGCTCTCCTCAGCCTGAGAACTGCCCTACAGCACAAACACAAGCAAGATGTTAGGTGGGCTTATGTAATGCACTAGTAAAAAGTTTTAAAGGCAAATATGTACGTTTTTGCCACTAGAGGGCGCGTATTCAAAATAAACAAATAGACAAAGGCGTAGTTTGATGACGCCGTGATTGAGTGTGAAATTATGGGAGTTGTGGTCTTCATCCCCACAGCCGATGCAGTCCGACGGGACTCGGCAGAAATCATGTTCATGGATGAGCTAATGTATTAAAGATGTATTAACGTCGTAGTATGAAGAAGGGTGAGGCTGAAAGCCGTCGAAGCGAAACGAGGCCGCTGAACGAGCGTGACACACGGCTCGAAAGCAACGGAGCTTTTATTATGCCACAGTCGACCGCTTCCGCTCCTTCCAGTCGTGCGTATGTGGGGTAAAGCAGCACTGTTTTATCATACTAGATATGTTTGAACGTTCTGTTATAATGCTACTCTGTGCGGTCGTCACCAGTCTATTAAAACGCATAACATATTAAAAGCAGCGCTTTTTTATCATACTAGATACGTTTGAAAGTTCTGTTATAATGCTACTCTGTGCGGTCGTCACCAGTCTATTAAAACGCATAACATATTAAAGCGTCTTTGGTGTTTCCATGTTTTCTACAAAACAAAACCGAACTCGAGGGGTTTATGACGTCATTGGCAGGTGACAAAATGACCAGGGACGAGCCACAATTTAAAATGGTTATTTTTCTGGATTTAAACATTCTTCGAAACATTAGGGATAATGTAAGTACACAAGTCAGCAAAATATACACTACCGCTCAAAAGTTTGGGATCAGTAAGACTTGTAATGTTTTTTAAAGAAGTCTCTTATGCTCATCAAGGCTACATTTATTTGATCAAAAATACAGAAAACAACAGTAATCTTGCAAAATGTTATTACAATATAAAATAATGGTTTCTATTTTAATATACTTTAAAATATAATTTATTTCTGTGATGCAAAGCTG